TACGCAAAAACCGCGATAGAGTGAAGCCGCGGAAGTCAAAGCGCGAAGTGGCGAGGGTTCACTGTACTCTCTTGTACTATCGGACATTTTAATAAGCATGGACTCTTGGTATTAAAACATTCATAATTAAAGATATTTTATTTCTTAAATCGAACGCAGGCTCAGTGGCCATGGCCTATGTCATGTCTCTCATGCCTGGGAGTCTCACAGATGGGCTTCAAAACCCACTTCTGTATCACTCCCAGGAGGTCCCCGAGAGTCGCCCCACCGTGGGCACAGGTGCAGACTAGTCTCTCCACACTGTTCACAAACTGCCCTGTCTACACCCCTGGGCTGGCAAGGGAGCAAGATGGATAGGTGTAAGGATGTTCCGTTGAACTCAAGGGAGAGATGGCGCCCAGGAGAGTCAGGATTCTGCTCTTTCCGTCTCGGTTCTGTCACCATCGCTGGAAACGTGTAGACCGTATGAGGGCAGTTCTTGTGTCCTCTCTCTCCTCTCTTCCCCCTGTGTCCTCTCGGGAGAAAGGTGGGGTTGTCTGTGCCCATAGAGAGCTATAGTTCGGGAAATCCACAGGGTAGTTCTACTCTGTCCCATAGGGTCGCTATGAGTTGGCACTGACTCGATGGCAATGAGAGCTATGTCCCCAACAAGGAAGAAAAGAGGCGATCTGTTCAGAGATCTGTCTCTGCAAAGATTTTGTAGGAGAAACCCTATACAGGGTCCACGTGAGTCAGATTCCACTTGATCACAGTGGGTCCGAGTTTGGTTATCTCCCCAGTGCCTAGCTCACTGACCTGTTGGGGTGGGACCCACTTCCATTCATAGCAGCCCAGAAGACCAGCGAGAACCCCCCACCCCCAGAGTTCCAAGGCTGCCAAGCTGCAGGGAGCCAGGCTGCCATCGCTTTTGCACATGAAGCCGCTGGGGGGGGTTGAACCAGGAATTGGTTCAGTTGGCAGCTGAGTGCTCAACTACTGTGCCATTCAGTCTGCTTCGGCTCAGAGCAAACGGACCAGCCATGATCATCATCATCATCAGCCCAAACTGACTTCTGTCGTGTTGATTGCACCTCCCAGTGACCCTGGGAGACGGAGTAGAATTGCTTTCCAGGGCTGCAGTCCTCACAGAAGCGGACTGCCTCATCCTGTTTCCACAGAACAGCCGGTGGCTGAACCGCCGACCATGTGGTCAGCAGCCGAACGCTTAGCCCCGGTGCCACTAGGGCTCCGGTCAGCAGAGAACAAATGAAAAACCCACCGCCATCGAGTTGATTCCAACTGAGAGTGACCTTATAAGGGGGTTTCTGAGACTGTCCATCTTTAAGGGGACAGATGGCCTCGCCTTCATCCCCACGAGGCCCAGAGCAAGCAACCTCAATAAACGCGTTGAGTGAATGAAGTAGCCACGTGCTTTTTTCATTATTCATTTTATTGGGGGGACTCTTACAAATCTATGACAATTGTATTAAGCACACTTGTACGTATGTTGCCATCAACATTTCTGAAATATTTTTTTTCTGCTTGAGCCCTTGGTATCAGCTCTTTTTTCCCCTCCCTCCCCCATGCTCCTGAATCCTTGATCAATTATATATTCTTGTTTTTAATTTCGTGTCTTCCACTGTCCATTGTCTTCCTTCACCCACATTTGTTATTCGCCCCCTCCCCCCTACTGTTCCTGAGGATTTTATCTGTCCTGAATTCCATGTGTTGAGCTCTTATCTGTGCCAATGTCTATACTCCGGTCTAGCCGGATGTGTAAGGTAGAACTGGGTCATGATAGTGGTGGACAGGAAGCATTCAGGAATTAGAGGAAAGATGTGTTTCATAGATGCTATATGGCACCCTGGTTGAATTATTCCTTCCTTGTAACCCTTCTGTGGGGGGATGTCCAGTTGTCTACAGACAGGCATTGGGTCTCTACTCCAACCCTCCTCATTCACATCAACATAATTGTTTGGGATCTCTGTTGATACCTGATACCTGATCTCATTGAGACCTCATGATCACACAGGCTAGTGTGCTTCTTCCATGTGGGCTTATCTGTTTCTCTGCTAGATGACTGCTTGTTGAACCTCAAGCCTTAAAGACCCCAGATGCTGCATCTTTTGATAGCCGGGCCCCATCTGCTTTCGTCACCACATTTGCTTATGCACCCATCTGTCTTCAGCGCTTCTTCACTCTCCCTGGTCACCAGATTTTCATTATTTTTGTGTACTGCCCACAAGTAGAGGCTGGCCAGCTGCCCTCCAAACCAAACCAAACTCTCTTCCCTCGAGTTGATGCTGACTTATAGCGACTGTACAGGGCAGGGTAAAACTGCCCCTGGGAATTTCTAAGCCTGTAACTCTTTATGAGAGTGGAAAACCCCATCTTTGTCCCATGGTGCTGGTGGTTTTGAACGACAGACCTTGAGGTTAGCAGCTCAATGTGTAGCCACAATGCCACCAGGGCCTGGCCTAGAGAAGCTGGTGGCCCAGTATAGGTCAGGGGTGCCCTCTGCAGCTAGGGTGTAGGGTCCACAGTAAGTAAATGCTGTAGTTGCGAGGTGGGTGGGGAGTACCTGTCGAAGCTTTTGGCATCCCCCTGGGATGCCAGCAGGGAGGGGGGACAGCATAGAGGCAGGTGTGTACCACAGGGTCTGTGATGACAACTTGTGTTAAAAGAGGTTGGAAATGAACATTGGGGCAACTTTGACGTCTGACAATGTCACGATTTGTTGTCTTGCAATGAACATGAATCCAAGCTCTGTGTGTAATGTCCATCTGGAAACACACTAGACGTGTGTCCTGCGTGCACAGGAGTGCGCATCCCAGGATCAGGCAGCTCCCAGCCTATCTCCACCAGGCTGGAACGGGAGCCTAATAAACTCCAACTCCACTGCCTAATTAGGCCCAAGCTGAAGGCCCCAATTAGAAGACCCCTTCATTTGTACCTGCCTCCTGGAAGCACGGGCAGCTTTGCCATGCACAGCGTCAGCGGGCTGCATGTTGGCGGTGATTAGCGGATGCCCCTTGCTTGCCTCGGGTCCCAGGGAGTGATCTACACGTGCAGAGAAGCGTGTTGGGCTAACCCGCTGAACCTTTGCACATCCTAGGGGGCTGAGCACCACCCGCATGCACCGAGCGCATCTCAATGAAGCTGGGGGCTGTGGCATCTGCAGAGCTGACATCCTGCTGTGATGGAGCGAAGGTGGGCCTCTCCACTAGCTGGCTGGCTCTTGGGAAGCAGAAGCCTCGCCATCCCCGCTGGTGCCACCTGCAATGATTCCCAGGGTGGGCCAGCTACCGGGGACCAACCTCCTGTCTACAGAGTAAAAAATGCCACTGACCTTGGTGCAGGGGGTGGAGACAATTCGATAATGACTGTGCTGATCGGAGCACTTACTGTGTGCTGTGCTCTGTGTTCAGCCCTGACAGGAATGAACCGACCCATCTTGTTTGCACTGTTTCCCAAGGCTCAGTGTGAGGTTAGTAACTAGCATGTCACACAGCGCAACTTCTGGGCACACCACCACCCTGCCTTACAGAGCCATACCCTGAACACAGACCTGGCACACAGGGGGAACCCCACCAATGGCCACTGTTCCAGGGGAGGTGGTGGAAGAGGAGAGGCTGGGGTGCAGGTGATCCTGGTAAGTGAGCCACCCAAATGCCCACCTGCCTGGGCTGAGTGAGCAAAGGTCCCTGGAAGGTGAAAATGATCTGCGCTGGGCCATCAACCCAAAGGCAGTGTGTGCGGTGCAAGCCCTCCCAGTGGCCCTGCAGAAGAAAGGCCCGGTGGTCTGCTTCCATAAAGATGGCACCAGACTCCATGATGCTCACCTTCCCAACACAATCGCTGAAGACAGAGTGGGGGGGTGGGGCGTGGAGGGGCAGGTACACATCTCCAGATGGGCTGTGGGTAGGGGTGGGTGGACCTGGGTACAGCAGGTCCCTGAAGGGGTTTCAGAGCCACCTCAGGGCAGGGAGAGAAGAAAGCAAGCTTCAGGCCGAGCTGCCAGGTGGAGTCAGAGCAGAGTGCCGGATGCTGCCGCTGGAGAGGCTCGCCCATGGGAGACACATGGACACTGAAGCCAGGCTGGAGCAGGGCCCAGTTCAACCTGCCCTTGGCCAGGCCTGATCAGGGGCAGGGAGGACAGAGGCTGGGAACGCTGGGACACCCTCAGGTAGAAAGGGTTTTAGTCAACCAGGCCTGGAAGCCCCCAAGCTTCCCAGAGCCCAAAACCTGGCACCCTGGTGGGTCAGCCGTGGCTCAGCCTGCTGAGGACCTGCAGGCAGAGGGCGCTGGTGGTACCCAGAGCAGCCAATTCTCCAGCTTTGGGATCCCAGTGCATTTAGGAACTAAGTCCCTCACTCACCCTCAGTGGGAAATGTCCAAGGACCTACCTATCCTGGCCTGTTACAGTGACGCTATGGGAGTGACGGGAGGTGGGGGCTGTCCCTCTGTCATTCCACTCCTGGAACCAGGGGCTGCGCAGACCCCGGAGAAGCTATTTCTTCCCACTCCGGAGGCCTTCTAAGGGGCTCCTGCAAGTTGAAAGAAACAGTCCTTCCTGTCTAGAACTGTCCAATAGGATAGCACCAGCCACAGCTGGCGATGACATTTAAGTGAATGGAAACCACATTGAATTTTAAAATCTGCTCCTCGGTGGCAGGAACCACAGTTCCAGGGCTCACCGGGTCACTGGACAGCACAGCTACCATCCTGCCATTGCAGCACTGGGCACGAGATGGTGGTCTTTCAAAGCTGCTTGCTGTGCACCAGGCTCTGCTAGGCGCTTTATCTGGGTACCCCCAGTTAACCACAGCCGCCCTGTAAGGGGGTACTCCTCATATCACTGAGGCTTCAGGTGCCTTCTCCGAGGACACACGGTGTTGGTGCAGGAGCCAGGACTCATCCCTGGTGTGACTCCAGTCTTGGCCTGTGGCCCTCTACTTCACGGCCTCCTGTGTCCTGAGATGCCCATTTCTCAGCCCTGTCACCTTTGGGACACACCAGGCAACACTAGACACTCTTTATTGGCTTGTGGGGTTTTCCAGGAAGTGGGATGTAGGGGGACCTTTGCATCCTCTTCTGTCCACAGGGGAACATGTAAGTGCTTCCTAGAGAGGGTTGTTACCGAGGCGAGGGGGAGTAATTGGAAGAGGTGACGGGCCCTCCGGAGGTCACTCCTGGCCCTCTGGGGTCTGGGTGACAGGTGAGCTTTGCTTCCCTATGGATGCTGCTTGCTTAGTGCCTCTCAGGGGCCTTTGTTGGGCAGGGGGTTGATGATCCCACTCTCTATGTATTCAAAGACCGTGTATGGGTCCTGGTCCCCATTGATGGTGATGGCCCATGGGTAGTACTCCTCTAGCTCCACCGAGTTCCGGTAGAACAGGTCCAGTTTAAGCCTGACCTGCTCCTCGCTATCCTTGGGGTTCTGCAGGAGACGGGTCTGGATCTCTATGGTTGGGGGTGGCTTGTACAAGAGGTGGTACCTGTTGAGAGAGAGGAGGGGGAATGAGTAACCTCCATCCCAGTCCAGAGGGCGGGGAAGAAAGGGCCCTCTGTAGGGTGGCTGGCCTCGGGGGTACCATGCTCATCCCTCCTCCTCATCCAAGCCAACAGTTACTGTGTACTTGTGAGCACCCTCTGAGCCGGGCCCTGGGGCCACAGAGAGACTCAAGACCTGGTCTCTGCCCCAGTGAGGAGGACATGGTGGGTGCTGGCAGTAGGGGGCGCTATAGTCCATACGATCCCTCCTTTCTCCCTCTCCTGCCTTGCTCTCTGGCTTCCAAAGAATTGTCAGGAAGCACCTGCACACAGACTTTGGACCCGTTGTCAGGAGGCCAGTCCCTGCAGAAGGACATCACGCCGGGTAAGGTGGAGGGTCAGTGACAAAGAGGAAAGGCCTTGATGAGATGGATTGCCCCAGGGGCTGCAACAAGGGGCTCGGGCACAGGAGCAACTGTGAGGCTGGCACGGGACCGGGCAGTGCGTCCTTCTGTTGTGCCGGGTCAGAGCCGGCTTGATGGACACTGACAACAATCTAGGTTGGCAGTGAGTTTGGTGTGGGGGACAGTCTGGTGTTCTGCCCTTTGCTGAGAAGCCATGGGAACCAAGCGAAACGCTGATTCTGTTCTTAGGGACATTATCGCGAAAGGCAGGAGGGGGAGGGTCCCATAGGAGTCCTAACAACAACAACTGTGAGAGGAGATGGCGGAACACTGCAGACGGTCCCTGTGGGGAGGGGGCTGGGGGCAGGGCCACGTGAAGGACATGGATGTGCTAAAGACTGCCCCTGGCACAAAGGGTGACAGGTTGGGGCTATGTTTGCAAGAAGTCCTGGTAATGTCCTTCCTGCCTCAGCCCACTCCACTGCTGAGACCCTATGACATGTGGCTCTGGTTCCCAGGAGGGATGGCAGTCTGCCACCTGGCAATGGTGGGCACTTGCAGGTTTATTCTGGCCCTGAATGCAGTGATTAAACGTGGTTAGGCTGCAGTAAAACTCAGGATCTACCTTCTGCAACTATGACAAGGTTCAAAGGTGCACTGGCTCCCATGGGGATGTGTGGGTACAGGCAGCCACGTCCAGGAGGTACCTTGGCAAGGGTACAGCGTACAGGTGGCTCTGAGCAATGCCTCCTGTTCCCATGCCAGGGTCAGTGCTGTCGACCTGGGGAGGTTGCGTGAACATTTCACCGGGTATCGCTGTAGAGCCTTAAACATTTGCTTCCTGGTTTCTATTCTAAGCAAAGAGGGTTAACACTTTTCCCAGAGGAGAGTTTGATTATCCCATCCCCTTTGCAGAATCTTCTGTCAGTAGTCACTATTGTTAGCCCTGACACTGACCGGCCAGCCAGAGGCAGGGCTCTGAGGTGAGCCTAGCCCCATGGCCCTTACATGGACAACCACAACAACCCAACGGCACAAACCTTTCTCCTGTGACTGGGTCTGTTCTTCTCAAGGTCAGCCGCTCAAGGACAGAATCCAAGGGGACATTCAGGAAAAACACCCTATGGGTGAAGGACACGCACTGTGATTAGAGAACCCCAGTCTCATCACCCTGAGATCTTCACCCCCCACACGTGGGGGGGGGGACTCCCAGTACCAAACCTTCGGAGTCGGCCAGGGAGACACTCTGGGGTGGGGTGGGGGGGGCTCTCCATGCCCTGGCTGCTCTTCACCGGCCTGGGTCCCTAACAGCTCACCTAGGGTAGGGTCTTCCGGAAGGGATGAGGGACAGGTGAGCGAGACAACGGTGTGCTCTCGGGAGGCCACCCAGACTTGGGTTCGAATCTCACCTCTGTCACAGACTTGCTTCCCGAGATAACTTTTCTCAGGCTCGGTTTCCTCAACTGGAAAATGAGGACAATAGTACTACGATGGGTCAAAAAATATTGCTACTTTGGGTTCTAGTTCATACATGCACAGGTTCATTGCCAACAAGACATGTTTAAGCATGTCTCCGTGACCAGGGGACCAGCCGCAAACAAGCTCCTCAGTGGCACACTTGTCTCGGGCTCATAGAGGTGCCTTCTGGAAAGAGGGCACTTGGGGACTGTGGCAGTTACAGAATCTCCTGTCAACTTGCTAAGGGGTGGAGTCTGTCAATCAGGTCATAGCCAATGAGGCCTCTGTGTGGGCATGGCTCTCTCTTGAGGATTCTGGGAACTCCTGTCTTCCTCCCTGGAGGTGAGACGCACACTCTCCCTGGGAGACATTCCTGTTGACAAGCCACATGCAGCTATGCTGATGAAGCCAGAGCCCCGGAGCGCTGAGATGCTTCCACTGCCACTGGATCCACAAGACTTTCCACCCACTGACCTGTGATCGTCCTGCACTCGGCATCATTGCATGTGCTGTGTGAGTCTGAAGAGGAATTTATAGACTGGTATTGGACATATGGGCTAATATCGGACTTATGGACTTGATCTGGACTGGGCTGGGATGCTTTCTCAATACACGATTGCTATAAAGCTCTCAATACACAATTTACTTAAAGCTCTTTCTATGAATTTGTTTCTCTAGTCTACCTGGACTAGCACAGGGGCCATGGGAAAGACGATTTTGAGGTCAGGGCTAGTATAAAATATTTAACAAAATAAATATTTCACAGGCACCTTCCCAAACTGTTGAAGCATTGCAGTAAGTTTACGAGAATGCTGCGTGGTCTAAAACAATGGTGTTTAGATGAATTAAGGGTTTTAAGGAAAGTCGGAAAGACCTCAAAGGTGAGCTAAGACAGGGAAGATCATCAACCGCGATGGATGAAGACACTGGTTGAAGTCCAGAAGCTGGTGGAAGAAGACCACAAAATGACCGTAGAAGCAACGGCTGCTGACATAACTATCGCACGTGCTTCTGCAGCGTCCGTCTTCAGTGGGTATCTTGCTCTGGTGGCTTCCAAGAACGTGGCACAGAGATCAGCTAGCTCAAAGAGCTGATCTTACCAGTCGGTGAAGTAAGACTAAAGCCAATGAGGATGATCGTATGGAACGAATCGTGACTGGGATAAGTATTGGATGTATCAATACGATCCAGAGAGCAACGTCCAATCAAAACAGTGGCTCCCAGATGGACCTGCGGGGCCATTTCCCTTCAAGGCAGAGATCAGCTCCGAAAGTGATGGTGACTTCTCTTGGGGATTTCGAAGGGGTTCGTTCCCCTGATAGACTTAAGACACTGGATGACCGCAGGGGCTTGTTGGGGAAAAGTTTTAAGAAGATTTAAAACATGCATTGGTGAGGAAAAGGCCAGAAAGTAGCACCACGGACTGTCTTTTACCACCCCCACCCCCCATGCCCATTCTTCCAGGGGAGAAAGGCTGCCCTATGAGCTTCTCGCTGGGAAGCCCTCCTCCATCCTCCCCACGGCCCTGATCTTGACCCTGCAGACTGCGGCGTGTTCCCCCAACTCAAAGATCATTTAAAGGGCACCTGAGTTGAGTCTTTGGAGGATACCCACCCTGCCATGTTGCCAGGGTATAAATTGAAGCATGAAGGATTCTTTGGGAAAGGACGAGGGAAATAGAAGGTATCCACCTCGCTGGTGCATATGCTACAAAACAATCACATCATTGTGATATGTTTATTTAATCAAAATCTCTATGACTTTTTGACTTGCCCTCATAGCTAGACAGTATTAAGAATTTAATGAGGTAAAGCATGTGACAAGCTTAACGTGGCATTTGCACATACTCCTGGCTCACAGGTAGGTATGACTGGTATCTGATCATGCTTATCACTGGACAGCCTTTCTCGGAGCTCAGTTTTGGCTGCCCCATTCCCTCCTAGGGAGGGAGGCTCAGCCGTCTATTTTCGGCTTTCTCACTTTCTCCGTCGCAAAGGAGCCACTGGTCGCAAAAGAGCAAGACACTCAACGTCAGCAGTCCCACCTCATCCAACTCAAAGGACCAACTTCCCTTGAAAACTTGGAAATTCAGACCGGAAGTGCCTAGGAATATAATTTCTTGCCCCTTGTTTAAAGGGCTTAATTCCCCCTTCTCTTTTGGCAATGAACCATTTCTTCATGTAAAACCTTAGCAGAATGTTTCTCAATGGGGATCAATTTACCCCCCAGAAAGACAGATTAAAAAAAAACACTGCCATCCAGTCGGTGCCAACTCATAGCAACCCTATAGGATAGGGTAGAACTTCCCCTGTGAGTGTCCAAGACTATAATTCTTTATGGGGGCAGAAAGCCCCATGTTTCTCCTGTGGAGAAGCTGGTGATTTTGAACTGTTTACCTTGTGGTTAGCAGCCCAACACGTAACCACTACACCATCAGGACTATTAGCTGCCAGAAGACATTTGTAAATGTCTGGTGATATCTGGGGGCAGACTCCGGGACATTCTGCTTGGTAAAGTAGAAGGTCAACTAAAAAAGAGAAAAACCGTCAAGATGAATTGCTAAAGCGCTTCAGTGATGGGCTCCACCATAACACCGGTGACGATGGCCCAGGCAGCATGTAATTCCGTTGGGTCAGTATGAGTTGGAGCCAATTCAATGGTACCTAACTAGAACTGGCATCCCCTGGGGCCAGGCCAGGGATACTGCATCCTACCACGCACGCGGCAGCTCCCAGCCCAGAAAGCCAACAGTGCGGACGTGGAGACGCCGGCACTGGATAAAACGTGCACAAAAGGATAGACAGAAGGCGAGACTTCTGCCACTGGGTGAGGTTGGGGGGACAGAGAGGCATACCAGGGTACAGCTGGCCCCTGGCTGCAGATGGAATTCATGACCCTATCTTCCAGCATCGAACCATTTAAAACAATCGAACCAACGGGCCCAACTTCTGGAATAGTCTATTGCTGTCTTGCTGCTTGTTCGTTCCTCTTTCACACATTCACACGTTTACTGAGTGACGGACGGTTGTGTGCTGGGCCCACAGCATAAGCTCTCGTGTTTACCGATCCCTTGGCTGGAGCTCACACGCTATGTTTAATAAAGTCATCATTGTGGATTGATGTGTGCAGTTACTCTTGGGGACAGCATCCATGACAACAATGGCAATAACAACGGTGACAGCAAACCCTGCCTGAGCAACCGAGGACTCTTCCTCATGTCTCTTTCAAGTAAGCGGAGCCAGGCGGGAAATACCTCTAGGAACCCGTAAGGAAAGCGAACATAACTGGGTTTCTCCCCTTCACACATGGAATGGAAACCTTTTAGGAGGCTGTTCGGCCTCCTTCAAGTCAGTGAAGAAGAGAAGCCTCTCATTATTAGCGACTGCTTCTTGGAATTCACTAACCTGGTAGAACTAACCTGGTGGGACATGGATCCCCAAGGACCCTGGACCTTCCCTCAGGTCCAGGAGCCACCAGCTGTAGCCAGAGCAATACCAGGTCCCACACCAGTGATCACAGCCAGTGCTCGGGAAACACTTGTAAAGGGATGAGGAATGGTTAAGTAGGTTGTGTGTTCTGTTTCACGTCTACTGCCTGGCTTTTGCCCGTCCCAGCCTCAAGTCCAGCTAGCTGGCAGAGCTGAGGATGAGCCTACGACACCAAGGCCAACAGGGATCTGAGACATATGACTCTTGAGAACCACCAGCTACATAAGAATTCCCTGGGAGCCTTTCAACGTGTAAGATGGCCACGCCCTTACCCAGCAGTGTTGAATCAACAAGCACTGGGGGAGCCCAGTGTCCCCTTTGGGTTTTGACTCAACTTCCGTGCAGAACACTGGGCCAGACATTCTGAACAATGGGCCCTGAAGGTCAGTCCTGTGAAGCTATGAGAATTCGATTCAAACTCTTGCCTCCAAAAAACCAAGTTCACTGCCATTGAGTCTATGCCGACGCACAGTGACACAGAAGACAGGGTTGGACTGCCCCTGTGGGTTTCCAAGATGGTAGCTCTTTCCAGGAGTAGAAGCTGGTGATTTTGAACTGTTGACTTGGTAGATCAAACCCCAACTTGTACACACTACACCACCAGGGCTGACTTGGGAATGCGCGATTTCTGGGCTGGATGTGTCTGTATTTCTCCCTGGACTCTCAAAGATCGGCCGGCCAGTTCTTAACAATGGGTTTGAATGCCTACCCTGAGCCACAGCCTCGTGTGCTGGTGAGCGACCAGGGGCCCCAGGCTGTGACTCAGTGGTAGTATGGAAGCTCTTCCAGACCCTGCACTGTCTTCTCGCTCACTGCTCCCCTTGGCTGGTAGAAAACCAAACCAGACGCACCACAGCCCGTTCCAGCTCACGGTGACGGCCGAGCAGAGCAGCTCCTGAGGCTCGCCAGCAATGTACAGCTTCCTGGCTCCACCTTTCTCCCACAAAGCCCGCTGGCCAGTCAGCAGCCTGGCACTCCACTCTCCACACCACTAGGGCTTGTGGATTTTTGAAGTTCCCTCTGACGAATCATCCTTACCCCCTCTCATCTCTGTGACTTGGTTGAGGCCAAGCGCTGGCTGCATGGCTGGGCAGGAGGGAGGGCCAGATGTGGCCAATCTGAGCCCCGGCTCCTCCAGGGCCTGGGCCTCGCTGAACTTCTGGTTCAGGCTGCAA